AGGGAAAACATGCAATGATGTACTGGCAATGGCCTGACACAGTACGAGAGAATGTTTGTAACTGATTAAATGCTGCATTGCAACTTGGCTTGCATTAGTTGTACCATGGACATATATTATATAGTATAAGGTAGTTTTTCCTAAACGTGGAGCACTCCAGATGTGTTGGACTACAGATGCCATCATTCCTGGCTGGCTGGGAACGATGACCTTGGTCCATATATCTTGGACTAAATAGTGCCTTCCCTAAATAGTGTCTTCCAGATGTGTTGGACTCTTGGGAATGATGCAGTCCAACACATCTGGAAGACACTATTTAGGGGAGGCTGCATAAGAAGTCTCCTTATACCAAGTTATATGGACCAAGGTCCATCCAGCCCAGTACATTTTGTTTTCAATGACAGTGGCTTGTCAGGGTCTCCTGTTGTGCTTGAGATGATTTAACTTGAGAATATTATGGGAACACAGCCTGGCATCAAGAATGTGCTTTGTTACTAACCTACAGATGATTAGTATACTCTACACTATCAAAGTACAGCACTTAAGTTTGCTTGTGTAGAAATTATTATTAGTTCTATGAAGAATTGCATAATGCATTATAATTGATACCATAAGTCATATGTTATAATTATGTTGATACTTAATTGCTGATAATTTATAGCAACAAACTAATTATTACTGTACTTGCTTTACAGAGGCAATAGCACATAGAAGCAAAACATATTTCAAGCACTTACATATGCAACACCAAAAACTATTTCACTTTTGTAGTTTATAATTTTTATGCATAATTAAGGTATGATCATACTCACATTGAATCATATCCAATGTTAGTCTTGCTTAAAGCAGGCCAACTGAAAACAATGGAATTTAAGTTAGGCATGATATAGTTTGGGTTGTAATGTTTAATACCCCCCATGCACACAAACACACACGGACTGCAATGTAGAAAAGGGCAGGAAGAATAAAGTACAAGCAAAGACTGCATTTAAAACAAAGCATAATATATTTCAGCTCAATATGTGCTAATTGTATGCACATTTGCTTGAACATAAACTCCATTGAACTCAGTGGAACTTAATTCTAACTAAACATTCATTGGATTGGGATACTGGACTTTTGGTTCGATTTATTTTAATCACGGCATGCAATAAACACCATAAAACGTGCACTGAAATTGTTCTGTGAACGACAGGAATGGTCCCAACTTGTTTTAAATTAGTGTTTCATTAATGGGACCAATCCCATTTGACACACATACACCTGTGAATGGGTCCGTAGAACATTGGCCCAGTCTGAAGGAACATGAGGCAGCCTCTTTGCTGAAACTAAGCTGATCTGGGTGTGTTCAGTACATGGATGGAAGACCACCTGGGAAGCTCAGATATGCCACCGTGGGTTCCATGAAGGAAAAAGATGTGATGCAAATTTAATAAATAAATAGGCACACCATAGAAGCAGGATCAGGTCCAGTAAAAAGAGACAGCAGTGAAGGGGATTGGAAGAGCCTCCTTCATGTTTTTGTGTGGTGATCCTATTGCCAACATATGGATAGCAAAGTTGGGCATATTACAAAATAATTTCTGAAGAAGGAGGTTTCAGCTATAATTGTAAGCCACTAACTGTACATACATGGGGGCACTTGTTCTATTAATGTTTATTTGTGTATGAAATTATACAACTGCCTATAGGTATTGGTTAACTTGTGTTAGTGCTTTAATGCTAGTGTCAAGCATGAAGCTGGATTCTGTATATGTTTCCTCAGAAGCAAGGAAGTTACATACAGTAGTGACTACTTCAGTCAGCATATTGAGCATTTCAACCTATACATAAGGGAAAGGAAAGAACAGATTCTCATTCATCTCTCTGTGCTCTTCCAACTTTACTTTATGTACTTAAAAGAAAATAGAGTATTCCCAGAACTATATCTATGATAAATCTTCAGTGTAAATAGTTCCTGTAAAGAAAGTGCTTTTAAAAAATCACGTTTTTTTTTAAAGTAATCCTAGCATAGGGAAGGGGGCGGGTGGAATATCCATTTCTAGTTGACTGATAGTTGGGCACATTCCTGCCTGTGACAAATAAAATAGTTCCTTTTGGAGAGGTAGATAAATGCTCTTATATCTCTGCAAATTTCCAATTGGAAATGTGTCAAGAGCTTTCCAAAGCAGCTAATAATGTATGTCTGAAGCCGCATTGTTAGTCTGAGCAGAGATGTAACGTTAGAAATCAGAAGTAAAAGCAAACATCTCCCCTTAATACGCCATAACGTTTCCAGCACTCTAGCTCCATCACCCCTGTCATATCCACTTTGCATGTGTCCTTTCTAGTTTTCATTGCCAGCCTGAACCTGCGCCTCATCCGAGCCTGTCCTGGCAGAGACACAATTCTCCAGCAGGGAAAAAGAAGCAAATAAACAAGTTGAGTGGTATTAAAAAAAAAAGTTGCCTTGCAGGTGCCTGCAGCTGGCGGTTAACACAGACAGTAAGAGGATCAACTCCATTTCCACTGGCTGGAGAGAGAGAGAGAAATAAAGCTCCCACATTTACTATTCACAGTTTAGTTAATTTGGATGATAACGGTTAGTTTCTAATCCCATTGTGCAGCACTGAATATACTGAAACCTACCAGCCTTCTGAAAGAGTATCTCTTGCAAGCAGAACAACACTCAGGAGCGTCCCCCGGCTGGACGGTGCAAGGCACGCACAGTTTCTGAGAACATTTTGCAGGGGTTTGTTTAGTCACCCACCAAGGTTGTAGACAAAACAGGTTGCAGACAAAACATGAAGACGCGAACGCTCATTAAAAACAAGACTGCCATGAGACAATAATCTCAATTTGCATTTTGTCATTACTGTGATCCCAAAATGAAATTTTAAAAAACAGCCAAGACCTAAATGGCACTGTTTTTCCCCTCGCAACTAAAGGACAAACAAATAAACAAAATTCTAAAAACCAGGGAAGAGAACATGAATCTCTTTTAAAAGAAAGGAGAACATTTGCAAAAATGTGTCCCTGAAGCCATAGCTCCAAGATCGAAAACACGTTCATAATATTTCTCCGGAGCATGCACCGCTTCTGTGATGAAATGGAGTGAAGTCTGGGTACTGACACACATCTCCAAAATCGAGGTGATGTTTTTATTTGAATGTGTAAGATATAACCCTATTCTGAGCTGCATTTATTATTCCGTTAGTCGAGGTGCAAGTTGGGCTTATTTGCGGGCTGGGGGGAGTCCCTGTGCTGGTAACGAAGAAGTGCCTTGAAAGCTGAAAGAGACATGAAAATGCGCTCTGAAGCTTTGGAGAGGGAAGGGATACACCCACTATTTTAGCTAATTTCCTCAAGTTCTTGTTTGTGTGTTTTCGATATTTTCCTCTTCAAGCCTTTCAAAAGAAAGCAAGCGACTTCCCCAAGCTCCATTATTCCCCCCTGGCTCCCCCCGAGACAAACTTGTTGCCCCCCAAAAAGACAGCCCTTTGCGTCCTCAAGGCGAGAAACGCGGCTGCCAGAACAGAGGCCCTAGGAAAAAAGTTAACAATGCTGTGAAAATATGTTTGCAGAAAATAGACAATTGTTGGATTAGACGTATTCAAGTATGAAATAATGCCTTTTTGTGTAAAAACTTCAGCAATGTGCGTGTACAAAAGTTCCCTGTGGCAGTTACTTGCTCCCTTTGTGAGCGTTGCGCTTTGGCGTCTCCACTTGGCGCATTTCACTCCAAGCCCCTTTAAACGCGATTGTTTCTTTCTTTCTAATGACATTTACCGGATCAAAACATGCTGTTAATTCGATCAGAAAGCTTTACCCTCCCTAACAATGCCACAATAATTTCTCCTGAAGTTTGTTAAATTGACCAAAATTAGGCAAATGAATAGGGGGTCTGTAGGCGACCCTTCTCGCAGGTGACACCGCATAATGCACTCTCAGACCAGCTGCGATCCCCTCTTTATTTTGCCCCTCTTTTCTTTGACCCGCATTATTAAAATTTAGGCCCAATGAAACCATTCACAGTCTTCAATGGGACATTTTCCTATAGGATAATAGGCTACAAATTGAGCCTCTCCAAAGGGGGAGGGGAAGGAGGAGGGAAAAATAACAACCTCGAGAAACACACACCACACAAAAAGGTCCGTCGTGTGCCAAAGGTTTGAGGGAGCCTCCCTGGGTCCGCTGAGGGGAGGAAAGAAATTTGAAAAGGAGGGGGGATCTCGTGCCAGCTTCCAGTCCCCACACCTGCCGGGGTGTCCCCGCCACATAAAGCGGGAGAAACAAAAAAGCCTCGCTGCCATCTCTCATAAAGATGGACGTGTCACCAAGTCGTGTGAGAAAAGCCTGAGAACAAACGGACCCACTCCGTCTCCAAGGGCTCTTCCTTGAACTGGGCGGAACAGCCTATTAAGGGCTTACTTAATTACTTTAATGACTCTGGACAGGCTTTAAAATGCAGTCAGCGCTTGGACAGGGAAGGGGGCGGCGGTAATGGGGGGGTGAGGGGTGCCTGGGATTTGTAAACAGGCGGTCGTGTGAGAGACCGACCAGGCGTTTTGGGCCTTAAAGAAGGGAGCTTGTGTTTCACAGCCTGCCAGCGCGCCACTGCGCTCAGCTCATTGCTCCCTCAGCCCTGCGCTGCCCGTTGCCATGCAAATGTTTTGGGGGGGTGATCACGTGTCCTTTGAAGGGCCACGTGGAGTGACAAAGCTGATCTGTCGTTGCCCCCCCACCCGCCCCTAGACTACAGGGGAGAGAAAAAACACGAACATGCACACATTTTAAAAAACTGATCTTTAATGCATGCCTTCTCCTCTTAATGCTACTTTCCCTAATCCTATGGAATCAGCCAGGTCATGAATATTACGGCCCCCCCAGCCCCCTCTCCTTCAGAAATGATCGCTTTATAAGCCACTGTTTGGAAGTCAGGGTTCTGCAATCCACCTGGGCCACTTAAGAAAGGACATCGACCACTTTCCCTTAGATTTTCCCAGCGGTTTCTTGCCACGATGGCTTCCAAGTTGAAGGAACGAAAAGTGAGTTGGAGCTCCCGCCTCTCCCTTGCGCCCTGGAGCCGGGCTCGACCTCCTCCCGAGGATCTGATCCCCCTTACTACACGAGCTTGTACAGAGAGGAAGTGGTAGCACCTGCTCAGAAAGGCAAAAGAAGGGGAGGGGGGAGGTTGCTGAGATGCAGAAAGTTGGCATTCCATATCTTAATATTTCATATCGCTTATTGGAGCATCCTATATGTCAGCACCCTTTTGAGGTTTTGCCTCGTATTTTGCCTTCTTGTGATCATGACCCATCGGGAGGTAATGGGACATCACCTGATCTCCAGCCGCAGGAATGCTGTTGAGAGATTAGGTTTTGGGGAAGCGGCGTGTTGCTCTCCAGCGTGTCATCAGCGATTGGCGAGTTTGATTTCGAGAAAACGCGTGTCCCTCACTTTTTAAGAACAGTTCTAAGGCGAGCTATACAGCGGTGGGTTGTTGAAAGGCAGGTAAGTTCCTGGAGAGAGGTCATTGTCGTGTTTAGCAGCGATGACAAGAGACTAAAAGCTGTGGGCCGCTTTGCGTTTTTGTGCCCATTCGACTTGCCGCGCGACACGTGTGTTGATTCTCTGCCACTAATTTGTTCTCCAGAGGATTCCGGTTTCCCACAAAGTGATCGAGAAGAGGAGGCGGGATCGGATCAACCGGTGTCTCAACGAACTCGGCAAAACGGTGCCAATGGCACTGGCAAAACAGGTGTGTGTCTGAGCATGTGTGCCTGCATGCGTATGCGTGTGCGTGTTTATCCCCGAAGAACGCACGATAGAGCTGCGCTTTGCGTCTCCTCGGATACGAGGGGAAGCCGGATGGATAGGTGGGCATGCCCAGGGCGACCGCTCCTCTTGTTGCGTCGAGGAAGTGGAGTGGAGGGCAATCTAATCTTGGGCAATCATCACGCGAACGGTTCCTGATGATCTCGGCGGAAAACCCCACGGTCTTTTCTTCCTGCATGTTTCTTATGTTAATCCGCGCGAGATTCGTTGCCCCGGGTTCAAGAAAACGCTCCCTGACGTGTCGCTCCCCCCCCCCCTCTCTCTCGAACAATTCAGAGTTCCGGCAAGTTAGAGAAAGCGGAGATCCTGGAGATGACCGTCCAGTACCTGCGGGCCCTTCATTCTGCGGATTTCCCTCGGGGAAGAGAAAAGGGTAGGCGCGCGGGGCTGCGCCCGTGCGTTCCCCGCGCTTGGCAGCGCAAGGCGCCGCAGAGGGCTCTTTTCCCGGGGGCTGCGGGCCAGGTTTGGAGACGCACTCGGTGCTGCGGAAACCCACCTCTCGTTTGAAACTCCTTGAGCTGTAAAGGGGATCCTGGCAAGGGCTGGAGAGAAAAAGAATTGGAGCCCACTGCACCAGAGGAGATAGGTGATGGGCACGCTCCCTTTGCAGGGCCAAAGTGCTAGGATCCCGCTGCTAGGATCCTGTGAACCTGTAGGCGTCCGACGAGCTCCCAGACTCAGTTTCTCATTTGTAACTGTTCGTAGCTTGCCAGGGCCAGCTAAAGGCATTTTTCTGCCTCAGCCAAAGGACAAAATGTCCTCTTGCTTTTCTGTGCATAGAAAAGTCTTAGTTTGACTTTGGTGAGGCAACAATACCTGAGGCAGGTAGCTAGCAAGCTCGTGGGGAGGGGGGTGGGCAGACCTTTATGCATACTGAGCCCTACCTCCAGCACCTCTTTACTGCTCCCTGCCTGTCAGCATGAACCGTCCAAAGATATGCCCCACTCTGGCAAGCAGAAGAGGCTGGTCCATGCACTGAAGTGATCACTGGACAGTTTTTTACATTGCATTTTTGCTTTTGCTTTTGGGATTAGACGAATCCATAGCAGGTAAACTATCCATAACAAGAGGTAATTGGTTGTTTGAGGCAAGCCTACAGGCTTATTATGTTATGCCCAGCCTGTGAGCTTATTCAAGTGTGCCCACTGCTGGAGACATGGTACTAGGCTGATTGGACATTTAGTTTGATTCAATAAAGCAATTCTGGTGCCTTGCTGAACAAGGGGCTTGAAGACTTTGATAATGTATAATAATAATGTAATAAGATATTTATTGTGGCCCAGGCTTTTGTGGACTAGAGCCCACTACAGCTGTGCAAAGTGTCACGTGTCCTTAAGTGGTGCAAGGGCTTATATGAATAATGCCCAGATTTTCAATTGTGATGACCTACTAAACTGCTGTTGCTTTTAATTTCCGTGATCTGCTGGTTTGTTCAAATGTCTGGTCCTTTTAGATCTTTGTAGTATTTCATTGCCAGCCACAGGGCATAATCACTGGTTCCTTCCTTCCTTCCTTCTTTCCTTCCAGCAGAGCTTCTAGCTGAATTTGCCAACTATTTTCACTATGGCTACCATGAGTGCATGAAGAACCTAGTTCACTACCTGACCACAGTGGAACGGATGGAGACCAAAGACACTAAATACGCGCGGATTCTGGCTTTCTTGCAATCAAAGGCTCGCTTCATTGCGGAACCCATCCTGACCTCAATAGGATCTCTTCCAGAGCCAGACTTTTCCTGTCAACTTCCACCAGCTCCAGACTGCTTGGCTCACAGCACCAATGACCCAGTTTTCCCACAGGGAACTGGGCATGGGCACTTCTCCTGGCATGGCTCTGTCAGGAGCCCCAGTATTCCTTACCTTCCCAATGCTGCTGTGCCCCTTGCCAGCCCTGGACAACAGCGCAGCACTTTCTTGTCATCAGTGCAAGGCCTGGACCGCCACTACCTCAACCTGATAGGTCATTCCCACCCCAATGCATTCAGCCTACCTGTTAGCCAGCACCCATCTACACTATAGTCTGCACCTGGGATTGGTGGCTTGTTATCCAAAGAAGGTTCCTGTATTGTTAAGGGCTGCACAGGGAAATGTATGGTCTTTGCCTTCCCAGTGCCATCCGACTCCCAAGCTACTCCCTGCCACATTGCATATAAAGGCACAGAAAATCTTCTAAGGCCAGGCAGTGCCAAAGCCATCTGGGTAATACATATTTATATGATCTGAAGAGAATAAATCATCTTGCACACAGGTTCCCTTCTACAAATGTACATAGGTATGGAGTGAGGTGAAATAAAGATGTACTGCTGGAAAAGATTCAGAGTGTGGTCAGCCTGAGATATGTTTGCCGTGTTTATTTATTCATTCTTCTGCTAACCTTAAATCAGGGAGCCCAATTCAGCCTTCTGGGGTTTTGAACATGGAGTTCTGGGGTTCCCCAGCAGGCCCCAATTCTTTCCCCTAACCACCAAACTTTGGTGGTTTCTTGGCTTATGTACAGTTCCTGGGCACTCATATTGCAAAAGGTTGAAATGCCCTCTTGGGGCTTTGTTTTTGGCAATAGGAGTTTTAAGCTAAACCTTGCTGTTGGTGGGAGGACACCACCCCTTGTGTCTCCAACACTGCTCATGCAGACACAGAGAGCTTCTCAGAAATGAAATTTGGTTATTACACTGAAGAAATGTTCTAGACATTTGTTCTAGTGGTGGCGATGGTTTAAAGCTGCATGCCCTTTGTGTTTATTTTTAAAGAAAAACATTTTAAGGCAAGAATTAAGAGGTGTAGAAGCTGTACCACTTTTAAAAGATCAGGGAGGAGTCCATGTCAAATGGCAATGGCCACTGTCCTATTCAAATCAATGGGAGCATTGTCACTGACTTGATAGGAACACCTAGTGGTGGTTGGCGCCTCCTCTGAGTGCAAGAGAAGAGAGCAGGCTGCAGGCAGAGGTCAAGCCAAGGGGTCAACCTCTCATCCTCACCACCAGTCCTTAACCTCCCCCACATTAAGTTTCACTACCAATCCTTTATACTCTCATTCCCAATCCTTTAAAGCAAAATTCTACTCTCACAACAATCCATTTAAACTCACCATAATGTGTTTCCATGCATCAACCTGAAACAAAATTTCCTCTTTCCTGCAAAATCAACACATTTTTAAAACAAATAAATCACCCAAAGCAAGGACCGCTACAGTCGCAGCAACTTACCAGGCTCCTTGATTGGAAAAATAAAACAATTGCACTAGATAGGAGCAGCAGCAAGTGGCCAGCTACAGTCAGCAGCTAACTCAAAGTGGGGAGAGAAACAGACTCAAACCACATGTTCTTTTAATCTGGACAAATGTGGTTTAGGGTGTTAGTTTTCTTTAATGGAAATGTACCTAGCACTTCATGGCAGCAGGGTTCAAGCATTCCAACCTGTTTTTCTCCCTAATTTCCACTAGCCCCAATGGGCAGGGAGCTTAAAAAATAGTGTCCTGTTTATTCAATTTGAGGTTTTTTAACACCTTACCCCCATGGAGGGTGGACTTTCAGAAAGAAACACTGAGGGGAGGGGAAAGAGAAGATGCAGTCACTTGCATCAGCAAAGAAGAGAGCAAGGACCACAACCCACTGAATGGGGCTTGCTCAGCCAGGCTCACAGCAGCTCTATTGACACAGGCAGCTGGCTATGAGCTACAGAAGTGATGGCCACACTCCCATTTTACCTGTCAGTCTGATTTCATTGGTTACTGCTGCTGCCAATATAACATTTTCTTCATTTTTTGTGCACTTTAGGCCCTGTTTACTGGGTGCTGGACCAGTCACCTGCTAATAAACCCTTCTCCTATGCCAAAGTCCAGAAAAATAAGTTCCTTGCATATACAATGCACATACTGAATCCAGAGATGTTCGTACTAATAAGAATTAGTATTAGTAATTAGATATCAGTATTAGTATTACTAATTAATTGTAGAAACAATTATGCCAGTGGGAGCCAAGATGAGGCATGCTGGGACTGAGGAATGATAAACCTTTTCTCTTTCCATGAGGAGCCAGGGCTCTAACCTCTCTGTCTGCATGTGACATGACCATTGGCTGCATCATATTTCTTTGATGAAGGGAGGAAATAGTTCTGTGCATTTAACTGAGTCTGAGAATGCCAGACCTAGAGAAAGTAAAACTAATGGAATTAAAACCAGGGGCCTGGAATCAGTTTGCATCATCCATGCAGTTTGTTCTGAATTTAGGTTGAATGGATGGTTGCAGAAAACCATATGCAGTTAATTTACCACATATTCATTTGGATGTTTGTGCATCTTATGCAAGTGCATTGGCCAACCGGTGGGGGCAAAGTTAAACTTTTCAAGCTGCCTTATAGAGATAGGATTCACACATTCAAGGAAGGAAAAGAAGCCACATGGCTTTTCCTTATCCTGCAAGTGCCAGTCTCATCCCACTTCATTTTCACAATTAGCTATGTTGCACATGGATTATCCAGACCTGGTGAGATGAGCAGTTGGGGAGGTTTCCAAACTACTCCACAACCCATGCCTTGTTCTAGGGTTCTGAAGTGGTTTGAAAATCATTCCCACTGATCACCTGTGCCAGGTTTGGACAAAGCATGTGTAATTATGGAGATGAGATGGCACATGATGGACATGACTGAAAAAAGTCACAATGTCTTCTTTTTCTTCCCTAATTATATGAACTCAGCTACAGAGTAAGATCATGTTTTGCTCTTTCCATGCTGCCTGGGAATTATGAATGTTTCATAATAGAAGGCACCAGGTTGGAAAATGCTGTTTTAGTCTATGCTAGTGATTGAAACTGGACTTTTCAATGAGCTATGGCCATTCCCAATTATTTGCATGTGGGAGGTGCTTCCATATAGCAGGTAGACATGATGTTGTCATGATCTGTTTGGTTGTAAAGCAGGAAAATATGTTCTACCAAACTGCATAACTGATCATGTCTACCCCACTCACCACCTCTTATGAAGATGATGTGTCATATAATAATTGTTGTTATGTAATCTTGGTTGAACAGCAAAGCCCAGAGACAGTGGTCACAGGGGGAGCAATAAGCATCCAAACCAGGCTTAAGTGTTCGGTGCTTAAATGAGCCACATGTCATTCAGTTTGGGTAGTATGGTGATGTGCAATCAATGACTTGATTCATGGGACATGACAGCTCTCGGTGGCTTAATTTAATCAGTTTGGGGGTCGTTGTGTTGTGCTTGGCACCCATACGGCTTTACCATGGATTGCTGCAACATGAGAATCAAGGCAGCAGGGGTTGTCTGGGAGTTAGACAGCCCTGAACTCTGAAGCAAACCATGAGTTATTTGCAAAAATGGCACCCATGGGTACCCAACCTGATGCAACAGCCATCACAGATGAGTTAAGCTATAGTGGACTGTCATGTTGTATGAACCTGATCACTGTATATCAATTTACCAGTCTGGAGATGTGGTGAAACAATGGTATCCATGTTTGCTCATTTGGGTTTTGGGGAAAATGAAATGGGAACCTACTTACTCTGGAGCAATTGTTCTCACTGGAGCAGATTAGTTGTAGATTTAGGTTAAGTTAACACTGAAAAGTGTGGGCTTCATAAAAAAAATCTTTATCATGCCATGCTCATTCAACTAACACAGCATCATGAATTTCTTGGTACTCCTCTGTATGTTATCAGGAAATTATCAGCATAATTCATAAATGTTGGATCTGACTCCAGTTTTTTATGTGAATTTCACAGGAGTTGTTAATGTACTGCATTCATATATTATATATTTAAGCAGTAGATTTGTATTTTTGCTTTTCTTCCATTATGGAGCTCAAGGCATCATATGGGAATTCCCAGGTGGTCTCTCATTCCAGGCACATAACAAACCCAAATCTGCTTAGCTCCCGCAATGACCCACCTACTCTGAAGTAAACTCCATTCTACTCAATGGGTCATACTCCCAGGTAAATTTGTATGGGATGTAGGCAGCTGGAAACATGTGCCTTCAGAACATGTTTTGGGATATTTACTAAGCTCTAGTAGCTAAGGAGTAAGCTTACTATATGTAGTGAGGCTTACTTCTGAAGAAACCTGAATAGGAGTGCATTGTTAATTTTAATTAATCTCCCTACCAGCCTAGGCAACTGTTATTGGCAGCTTTTGGCTGGTGTAATAATGTCAAAGGTGTCTCATGATTGCCTAGTAGAAGAGGGAGATCAACTCAGGTTATCTTGGCATTCCAAACACTGACTTGGATAGTAGACAAAAGTTACTCAAACTTTTAATTTTAATTCAATTTTACTCAAATTATTTTAAATGTAAGGAGTAACAGGAGTAACTTTAAAACTGTGTAGCAGCTATGTCTTTTCTTACTCTGGAGTAGGTACAGGGGGCTGTTCCAGACTGGGATCCTAGCATGGTAGTTAGCAAAGTTTTAAAATTAGGATTGGTTTCTTGTACCTGCTCTACAGTTATCTATCTATCTATGCATCTATCTATCTCTGGTAGATATGGGTTTAAAATGATATCTATTTTGGTCTTCAGGGAATCCATACAGAAAATAATTTAAACTACATATCCACACTTGAGATGTGCTAAAATTCTGGTGACTTTTGGCAGAATGAGACGATCAATGTTAGAGTTCAGGATAGAGTCTGTGTTTCTGTTTATAATACAATGCTGCTGTTCAACAGAAATGAAATGATTTTGCAAGACAGATACAATACCAAGCTTTAAAACACACACACAAGACTATTTTCATTTTTGAGCATGACTATAAGGAATACATTTGGTTAAGAGAAAAATCAACGTGAAAACCAAAGCCTGCCAATTAATTACACAAGCTACTGGGCACAGTTGTGCCATCTTAACTCATCTTCATAGGCCTTACTCTTAATTTGTAATACTATCTGACATGGAAGATTTTTTAAAGATGCTAGGAAAACTCATTGTAGGAAAAATGTGTGTATTTCTGACTTGTGGGAAAAGAATAGGTTTGGGAAGGCAATAAAAAAATCATGTATAAACTAACTTT